AGAGCTCTTCCAACAGAAGACAATTTTTCATGCATGGATAAATCACAGTCACTGACCAGCAACTATCAAGTTTGGTGATAAACCAAGCTAAGTGTGGATATATGGCCCAAAAGTGCTTTTCAAAGTGTATTTTCAATAACATAGTGTTATATTAAGGAAAGTTCAGAGGAGGAGGAGAAATATCACTTACTATCTTCATCTTCCTCCGGAGCACCTTGTTCTTCTCCTTGAACAATATCCTGATCCAGGTTATCGTAATGGGACTGATGGCTGTAAAGGTTATATGAATACATCAATGCAGACTCACACGAAATACATATGGTAGGAAAACATGGAGATTAATACTAGTACCTTTTTCCTTTTTGCTTTGGAGCAAATAAGTTCCCATAAAGGAAGGAAGAAATGGAACATTTGCTATGAGTATCTGGCAAGAGGTACACTAGCAACTCCCCCAACATGTATGAATATATACACAACAAAGGAGGGAATCTGAAAAACCGTGGTTTGTAATGTGCCCACTATGAATGGTGTTTAAGAAATGGCTGTCAAAGCGCACTGTTGTTCAGATGATTATCTGTGTTAATCTTAGACCTTCCATGATACTTCAATGTCACTATTGCATGAATTACTTGGCAGTAAATGGGGACGTGGTGGCGCTGCGGGCTAAACCGCAGAAGCCTCTGCTGCAGGGTCAGAAGACCAAGCAGTCATAAGATCGAATCCACGCGACGGAGTGAGCGCCCGCCGCTTGTCCCAGCTCCCGCCAACCTAGCGGTTCGAAAGCATGCAAATGCAAGTAGATCAATAGGGACCACCTCGGTGGGAAGGTAACAGCGTTCCGTGTCTAAGTTGCACTGGCCATGTGACCACGGAAGATTGTCTTCAGACAAACGCTGGCTCTATGGCTTGGAAACGGGGATGAGCACCGCCCCCTAGAGTCGAACACGACTGGAGAAGAAATTGTCAAGGGGAACCTTTACCTTTACCTAAATGGGGAAAAGGTATCGACCAGCAAACCGTATGCTACATCTCAAATCGCACCTCCAAGCCAAACTCTGTGATGGCAATGGATCAACAACAACAACAAAGGACCAGAATTCTAGAAGGTCCTGACAACACCAGAATTTCCCAAGTCTAAGACATTACCCTTGTTTTTCAGGCGATAGCTCCGAAGCTTATTTTAGCACTAACCTTAGGCGGTGTTTAAATTGCTCTTCGTCTTGCTCGGCCTGCCTCCGTAGCGCCAGCTCTCTTTCCTGAAGCTGCTGCTGTCGTAGCAAGTGCTCCTGCAGCCTCCCCTGATGCAAAGACTCCTGATGTTCTCGGAGGCGATTGGCTTCTTCTGCTCTTCGGGCAGCCAGCCTCTGCTGCTCCAGCTGCTCTTCATAGGCGGACTTGTGCCTTGTTCCAGTCTTCACTGTTGACGGTTCCTAGTGGAAGACACAACAGTACTCCTTAAGCAAACCAAGAATCATGGAGGGGAGATCATGACCCCCCTCCCTCTTAGGTGGGAAAACAGGAGAGAAAACAGATTGCCTTTCTCAGCACTGTATAACAGACTGATATTTTTAAGTCTCTGCCATTCTGTAGGATGGGAAAAGAAGATATTTATACATTTTAATCACAATGGCAATCTCTCCTTTCTTTATCACAGGCAGGTTGGTGAAGGCGGGATCAAGGAGAGCCTACTCACTGGCTCTTTTCAAAAAAGGTCCCCGTATGTCACCGCTGCCACCACCATCATCATCATGCGCTACCCTTTCCATGGTCTGCTAGCATTGAGTACTCAGAAGTGGTTTAATATTCCCTTATTCTGGGGGCACTGTGCAGCTTGTCAGAGGCCACACAAGCCGGCTCTTTTCCACAGTAGGGAATTGAACTTCCAGCCTCTGAACTATCCAGCCAGCTGCACGCCCTATTCGTTACCTATTAATTTAATTTGATTTGTATTCTGCTTGTCTATGGAAAACATGGAACCTGGGGGGACAAGAAATCAGACCAAATAAAGCAAGCACCGTTAAACCATAAACTAGATTCATTAAAACATAAAAGATGTATTAGCAACCCACCTAAGCCCCTCCAAGGTCTGCCTGATCAAAAAAGTCTTTGCCTGCCAGGGGACACCTGGAATGGGGCCAGACAAACCTTCCTCCAGTACTGACTGAGCTTACACTTACAGGGCTGAGAAGGCAAGATACGATGTAACTCAAAAAGCAGCAACTTCCCTTTTATCCACATTTTATTTCACACAGTGATGCAAAGTAAAACAAGCAAACAAGGCATGCTACTCAAACACGGTAGACAAAATAATAAATTGCACTCCACTTAGAATGAGTTTGTTTGAATCAATTTGTTGTTGTTGTTTAGTCGCTTAGTCGTGTCCGACTCTTCGTGACCCCATGGAATCAATAGAACTCAATAAACCCCTTATTGACTCAACGGGCCTACTCTAATGCAATTTGTTATGCCAAGCAACAAGATTCTGGCCAGTAAGTAGCTCCTTCCCTTCCTACTCTGTCCAAAGGCAAAGACTAACAGGTTCAATGATGAACAAGAACCAGAGAAAGCTGAGTCCTAAAATCCAGTCCTTCGTGAGATTTGCTCCGTGATCTTGCACCACTCACAGTGGCCCTGCCTAATCCAATCTACCAAACTGCTGTAAAGATAAAACAGAGAGAATGTTTTCAACCACCCTGTGAAGAACCAAGGAAGGCAGATTTTTTAAAAAAAGCTACAGCCAGAAATTCTTTTGGCTGGTGCGATGTTCATGCAAACAATGTGAGCTGTTTTGCTGACTGGCTATTCCATGCCTAGTCGTCCAGGAAAAATATGAAAAACACCATCATGAAGGTCCTCACACGTTCAGAAAACCTCAGTAGGATAGTGGTCAATGGGATAAAAATGGTAGTTGCTTTATCGCAAAAGGAGTTTTCCTTATCCCTTTACTAATATTAAAATAGTACTTCAAAGACTGCTTATCTATTTCATCTCAAAGTAGATAACTTTGAACTGAAGGCAGCATTGAAAGAAATAAGCAAAGGGCTGAATCCTGTTCCCCTCATATGATCGATCTCTCCCTCTCTCTCTCTCTCACACACACACAGAGGGGGGGGGGAGAGAGAGAGGGAGAGAGAGAGGGGGAGAGAATGGTGCTGAGGAAAATTTCTGGGGGGCTGGGGGCCCGGAATCTTGAATTAGTAGGCAAGAGTATCAAGGAAGAATTCCACGTAATTGAAACGCCATCCAACTATTTGCCTGCAGGTAAACAGTAACTAACCTCTAATGGTGCTTGGAATAACAAGATGACTTTGTGAGTCATCAGCGGAAATCTAGATGGAAACCAAAGAAACGAGCACATTTTGGTGCCTCTAAGAGATGAGGCAGAGTCATTCAAAAGCCAATCTATATCCCCTATGTACTATCCTTCCTGGACCTTACTTCCCGAAGGCGTGCTGCTTTTGGAATAGAAAAACAGCCTGTTAAAATACTAGAGCACATTGGGATTTGGAAAATAGAGCATTCTAGACTAATAAAGGTAAATGAAAACGAGGTCTCGCTCCGAAGCAGATACAGTGTCTACAGGTTGCCCATATAACCTATGTGTGAAACCACACACA